TTGACATAACGACAAGTAAATCTTATAGGTCACATTAATTTGAACAAGACTTAAAAATCACATGCATTAAATGCGTTAGACATGCATTATGACATCAATCGAGATATTGCTGAACAAAGTACCATTTATTAATTTAATTATCTCTTAATTTTTATGTGGATATTTGTAACAAACTATATTTCCTCGAAAAAAAAAATTGAATAACTTGTAATTGTGATTTTACACTTCACACATGAAATCATCTTTTTCTGAGTATGTTACGTATGTTACGATTCATTAATTTTCACCGAAAGATTTACTTGCATTGACTTATTTTTGATATAAGAATGATATAAAATGATAAGAATGATATAAGAATAAATTGCATTACTTGCATATAGAATGTTTCTTTTATCAAAAAAATTATGCGAATAATCTAAGTAACACAAATTAATATCCGGTATCGCGTGTATATATTGATGTTCAATATATCGAGATTTCTCGATTGTCTCATCCGCACAGATGATTTCGCAATAGGTTTTCCTTATCCCCGCTAATAGCGCCGCTGAAAAGGAACAATCGCGAGGGATTATCGTCAATTAATCGGTACGAATGTGTCGCGCTCATACACATATAACCGGGCACGATCTATGTCGGCCGTCCTCGGTCGACCACGGCGTCTATCGTCGTCACCAGTCGTCGAGCACGTGGTCGGGTCCGGTAGAAATAGCTCCGACATACCGCAATATAGGAGATCGCGCGGTCTGTGTTAGTGATGTCTCATTGTCGCGAAACACAGAGAAGAACAACGCCAAAAGAATGCCGGGGAAGAGGCGAGGTGGAAGAAGAGCAAGGCGCCTAGAGGTGAACCGCGCGAATCGGCAGAGGGGAAAAGCTGCATCTCGTACACGTGAACGCGTCTGACGATTGCTCGTGACGTACGTGAACACGATCGCCACGTACATTATCGGTGTGTACGAAGCGCTGGCTTCCATCGCATGAAGATTCGGTTAAACCGAAGTCTACGTAGAAATACGGAAATGCGAATTTCAGCGAAATAAATCAAATCTCATTGTGAATGAATGAATATAGATAGTGTGATGACGTTGCAATAATTATAATAAATTAGTATAAAATAATATTTATTAAATTGTAAAATGAGTTATTTTATTTTTATTCATGGAACATGAATAACATATATAGTAACAAAGAGATTTGAATTGAAAGAATATCCGAGAGTAATATATCACACAGTGTAGTATTTAATAACATATAAAATTAAATTTTCTGCATATAGTGAAGCAAACAGCACCGCGTACATTTAATTAAAAAAAAAAAGTTACAAACAAGATATTTTATTCATCTCTAGCAAGCTACAGATAAACATCTGTATGTCGTGCACGTCGATGTGACAATTAGGTGACAAAGTAAAGAGCTTTCAGAGCTTCACAGAAGAATCTTTTAAACGGAAGACGTTCTCAAGTGAGCGACACACGTTGCTATTAATATTATAATATTGCATTATTAAATTAATATATTGAAATTTTATGAGACATTTAATGAAAATTAAGATACGGTTTATATTTTTCATCGTAATAAATATCAGTAATTTATGGATGACGTATTTATCGCTCTAAAAATGCAATAAGTTTTAGTAAGGAAAAACACATTTCGAAGAAAACAACGATAAAACGATTTGTAAATAAACTGTGGAAAGATTATTAGAAGCTACATTAACGATAAATATGGTAAGTCTAAGAATCCATTAAATGGTAATTAGAACATCTTTTGCATATATCGTAAGTAGTTAAATGCCGTAACAATCATGTAAGGTGTGTCATAGTTTGTCATAAGAAGAAGAATGTAATCTGTTCGATAAAAACTCATCTCTCGGAAAAATAGACATTATAAATGTTTATAGTTTGACCAATTAAACGCAGCTAATGTCGAGTAATGCAATAACATCTCGCTGGCAATATATTTTGATGACATATGAAGCAGTATTTAAAAAAATTAAAAATACTACAATAAAATATGTAAATCTTTTCCTCACTTTAATTCTTATACTTTGATACCACAGTTTGTGATATTTTTCTTATCAAAAGAGAAAATATTTTAGAAAAGAATTGGATATATTTTCTAAATAAGATAATGATTTACAAAGGAATGAAAAACTATAGATAGGAGTAGATTATATTAAATCAAATCTCGGATTAATCTTTGAAACATAAAACTATTTCTGTGAAAATAAAATCTCAAGTCAAATAAAGAATTAAATTTTATCCTTTTTTTAAAGTTCAATTTCCTAGATTTGCATCCTTTAATTCAACAACTTCTAATTTAAAAACTATTCACTGTCTGAATTTTTTATTACGGAAAAGTAAATTTTAAATTTGATAGAAAACGCAGTCACGAAACTCAGTGAGCAGAGAGCAGCGAGTCGGTATCTTCGGAACATCCTACGCATTCTGAATGTGCAACTTACTGTACACTATTTTCGCGATAACGACTAAATGCGCGAGTCATTCGGCGGCCTTGACGCATATCGCGAGAAAAACGCACTCGGTCGTTCTCGAATTATTTTTCGCATGCGTATATCTGCCGAAAAGTCCCGCCCTGATTTCTTCGTATAATCATCACGAACGGTTTCGTATGAACAAACAGATTACGCGAACTCATCCTCGCGAAAGAACAGAAGTTTCGCGCGTTATCTACGCGTTTTTATCCAGATTGCGGTCGTTTTCGCGATGCGTCATCGGCGGCAAGCATCACGCTTCTTATCACGTGTATCCGTGCTTTCTCGCGGTCCATTAATTCACATGGCCAGTCGATACTTTTCAGCTTAATCCTCTCGCGATAACACGACCGATGGTTTCATTAATATATTTTTCATTAGTATATTTTTATTCAAATCCATTTTCATTATATAAAATATTTTTTGTCAAAATCATTTAAGACGGCTGTCTTGCTATATTTCAAACTATATAAAACGTGAGGCTTAAATTTCAAAGTACGTCAATCTGATTTGTATCTAAAGGTTTCACGATCTCAAACACTAAACAAAAATGAGAAATACACATGTAAGATATCTGGAACAATATAGCAATGTTACAAATAGAAAAGAATCAACAATCATTGCCATGATTCTAGCATTAACTTCTGCATTATTATTCCTTATATTTTTTTTATCCATTTCATATTTATATTAATAATTACTGCATTTTTATTCATAATTCTTTATATAGAAATATGTCGGTGTATATTATAAAAGAAGTTATAAATCTAAAAAGTGCTAAAAAAAAATCGTTACGAGGATTCAATAATAATAAAATAGAAAGTCAGGTAAAAATTGTCAATACATTGTCATCGGGCAGTGAATAAAGAAAAATGAGCTTCGTAAATCTTATATTTTAATGAAAAAAACTAGTATAAAGCAGATGTTTTCAAAAGAAGAGTAAAGAATTGTATGCAATGCCAGATCTGTTGTTTCATAGGGGACAACATTGATCTTTTGTTCCCAGGTCTGAATAGCGAAAGTCTTCTCGAAACCTGAATAGATTCGTCACACAATAAGAAAGAGCCCGGTCAGTTGTTAAAGCTCAGTCAGTTGTCCAGATAGATGCAGGACTATGCAGTACAACTTATTTTTTACATAAAAAGAATAGAAAGTTTTCCCTCTATTTTACTGACTTTTCTTTTTAAATTACGTGAAAGTCATTTTAACGGCTATTATAAAATATATGAATAATTCAAATTTTGTACTCAAATAACATAGTCATTCAAATATTTGTAGTTTGGCTCCAAAACACGCTCGGCAGTAATATCCCAAGTCTATTAATTATGGAATATACGAATACTTCAATTTTGTACTCAAATAACACAGTCGTTCAAATATTTGTTTGACAAAACACGCTCGGCAATAATATCCCATCAATAACATAAGAAACGATTTATGAAAATCATGATGAGTAATTTATTGTGTTACGATCAGTAAATTTCTAAACATATGAGATTCAAGGATTTCGTACAATAGCACTCGGTAACCTGTGACAACCATTTAGACTCTGAAATTAGCAACCATTTGAGCTGCGAACAAACATTTGTCGAATGGAAGAACAATAATTTTCTACCTGCTCTTATGCCTTTCACATTTTTAAGTTCTTAAGAAAAAATTCAGGAAATCTAACGTAAAAATTCTATATTAAAAACGTGGCATATTTAATAATGTATACTTATTATATTTTAATGTAAAATTAATTTCTTAATAAATGTAAATAAATTTATACAATATTTATTCTGAAAGTTTCCGTGTGTATGAAATTGCAATCTATTTAATAACTATTAAAAAGTAGATTCCATTTGAAAATGAAATAAACATTCTTTTAGCATTTGCAAATGAATAACAGAAATTAAATATGTCAAAGCCCCGAAATAGATACTCGACGCTTTTTAGGATCACATCTCTCGTCGAATATCGCGTTGAGAGAAACGCCGTGTGAGAGCATGAACATGTTGCACACAGCCGGATCGAGCACGTGGTCTGCGATCGTTTTCGCGATAAAGTCGCGCGCGCGCGCGCAGATCTCGTCTCAAATTACGTAGTTTCCTGTTAAAATTGCGAAGCCGAATGGAATTTCCATACTTAATATACATAACTCACTTGGCAGCCATGCATCTGACCGAATTTTGCTGACTGAAATCCACGCGAAGCCACGCGACATCACGATTGCGAAGTTGACCGAAACGAGAATACGACGAATTTATGAAGAACTTCATAGTTCCATCTCTCTCATATTCGCGCTCTGCCACGCATCGGCTACGTTTATATATTATACTAATGTCAACGATGACGAATATGTTCGGCGAACGAAGTCATTTTTAAAACTCGTACTTGAGTGGAGCGTAAACGTGAGAGCGCGAGAGAGAAATATTGAAATTCTTCGTACTTTCGCAACATCGCCGGCAAATTGTGTTTATATTGCTGACGGAGCCCGACGAAACAACGCGGTCGCGTGCCATACCTTTTCTTTTTCGCGCAGTTCGCTCCTCCTCATCGAGTCCGGGTTGTTCCCACACCAGCACGTGGCCATTTCGTCCTCTATTCTCGTTGTTGCTGATTCTGCTGCCGCTCATCGCACAGCTCGGCACGGAAACGAGAAAGGCGATCACACGAGGGGCAAATGCGATTACGAACTTGTTGGACGCACGACGGTCGACGACGGCGACGAGCGTGCGACGCGATAACACATCAACTGTTCGTGCGCGCGTGGACTACTGCTCCTCACACTCTTGCGCGCTCGTTTTACCGAAGCCGAAAAGTGCCGGAGAGCGCGTGCGAGCGCGCCTGCGTTCTTTTTTTACACCGGTCGTACGACGGCAACGACGTTGGGAGAAACAGCGTGCGAGGCAGCGGCGACGATGACGGCGGCGGGCGACATTCGCGAGCGGTGACACAGTGATAAAGGTGAACGCGAGATGACGAGGTTAAGACTTCACGTGATACGCGCTGTTGAACCCTGACCAAGAACACACGCAATCAGTCGGGTTGCTGCGATAACGACGGTCGACTGCAAAAGCGGACGGGCGAGCACGCGGCGCCGGCTGGATTCGCAGTGCGTCAGCTGCGTTGGTCGCTCGGCCAATCGGAATACTGCGCGGCAAAAATCGCGATCGGCGGCGCGAAACTTAAACTCTGCCAAGTGAAGTGACACGCTGACATTGCGAATGATGATAAAAATCATTGTCAGCAGTTCTTCTTTCAGGATTTATAACACATGGACAGTGGATCTGTGAAGTTGCGAAATAGCGCTTCTTGGATTTGATAAACTTAATTCTAATAAATTACGAGCTGAATGTACGTATATAAATACGTATATTAAAGTGAATTATATCCTTTAAAGATTGCATGATTTTATGCAATGCAATGATAAGATTTGCGTAATAATTTATCACTAATAGCTATATCAGCGATAACGTACACACAATTTATTGGTCCTACAAAAAATCTGCAAATCTCTTTCATTGTTGCGAAACTTTCAAAAATTTTGATTCAAAATTAAGTGAAATTTTATTAATTATCTGTCTCTCATTAATTTAATTTTTGAAAAGGAAATGGAATATTCTCAGCTAAATTATAACTAATAGCAACAGAGTTTATATTGTGGTCGTTAACTTTCGCTTCATTAACTCTTATTAGCAATGCTGAAATTATTTAAAGAATGCTAGATTGGCGCTTCATTAAATTTCAACAGATGGTTAAAAATAGAAGTGACTTTACAACGAAGATAACGAAAGGGACTTCAAAAGAAAAAAACCGAACGACGAACATTTATTGGGCTTCATTCCAACCAAGTACACACATGTGCATTGTGAAACCATATGATTCATTTTCGACCGTTGGACTCGAAAGCTAAGTGAATTACCGCCGACAAATGTATCGCATTTCCGCCATCAGGAAAATCCTGTTTGCTACATTTTGCTTACAAATCAAATTTTTCCCAAATTTCCAAACAGCAGATGCCTGGAAACAGTTTATAGTTTTTAAACTTGAAAACACTGTCTCTATTCAGAAATGGAAAAATATTGATAGAGAAATATTTTTTAACATCTGCTCTCACTTACTGTGAGCTCTTTATGCATGTTTTCCGCAAAAAGATGATATAAGCCGCGTTCATAGCAAAATCTTAATATTTGCATAATAAATACATCGCCTTAATTAATCGAGAAGTTTAAGTCTTTTTTTCCCTAGAATATGCAAATTTTTTCCTGTTGATCAATATTTTTACATGAAAAATTGCATAATGCTGAATTCAAGATCATAAACTATAAAAGAGGAAGTCACCACTACAATAAGTTGAAATTGTGTCTTATGTACGCCAATCTTTTTTCCATTAAGATATCTCATAAGAAACACGACTGCTAATTATACGATGCTGTTGTAGAATCTTTCATTGTTAAACGCATACATATACAGCACCTCTGATTACATCAGATATCGTAAGAAGGAAAAAACTGAGTCACTGCAAAGATAATATCATTGTCTCGTATTCTTAATTAGAATCTCAGATTCTTGATGAGTATCATTCATCTTCGTCAAAATAATTAATTTATAGAGATTAAAGAGCGCGATAGTATGACAGTTTTGCTGAAATGACGTAAATTGTCATTTTTCTTAAAATAATTAAAAATATTAAATTGATAAGTAAGTAATTAAAACAAATGTCACATATTATGTTACAATTTAAACTATAAATTATGACTACAATAATTATTACTAGATAACTAACACAGCTCGCGATTACTAGATAACTAACAATTTTTTGCGAAGTTTATTATCAGCAAGATCACATTTTGTAATTACTTGATATAATATAAAATTCTGATTTACTCTTTACGAATTCCTCTTTGCAATTACGGCAAAAACTCCATAATAAATTAATTCCATAATAAAATAAGGGAATTTTACATTAATTATGTTCACGAACAATTTTTGTCTCAAATAAGGAAAATGTGGCTTTTACTATTCCATTCAATGCCTCCAATGAATAACAGGAAAATGTCATTAATTATAATTATTTTTCGCAAACAACTGTTGACGTTCTTTCTTACGTAGTTTTATTTCCGATTCAAATTTGCGTCATACGGAAGAGCGGATTAGATCGATGATTAGATCAATGCGAGTGACACAGCCGATACATCGCATAAGACTTTTGGCACGTTAAAACCAATCAGCTATTAATAACTCAGTACGTGATTTTATTTCTGGCTGTCTTTTCACAGTGCGGTTAAAATAAGCACATTTTACACACTCCAGCATTGGAATTATCACAAATTGCAATCGTATTCGGTTGCATCCGATGATTGTATCGAAGACCGATTGCTAATGATCGAAGTTCATTCCGACGCTCTACTAACATTCGGTAAAACATTTTATTTCCAAGTCTCGATTATCTGTAATGTTAATTATGAAATTCTGCACGTTCTGACGCGTGATTTTTGGCGATTAACGCAACGTAATCAGCGATATTTCCGTTTATAAATGTGCTGTTCTCGATATCAATAATAATGATATTTTTCAACACGATATCCTCCAACATATCTATCTCGCAAATACCACTGACATTAATATTGATATATTAATTCTACAATATTAATATCAATCCATCATTGATAAGACAATTTACGCAACACTTCCTGATCTAAAAATATTCCAAACCTCGCTCTCAAAAATATTTTTTAACTAATAACTTATAACTAATAACTTAATTAATAATTTCTTAACTAATCTCTAATAATTTTGATGAATCTAAATTTACCATCAAAGTATAATAAAACATATTAAAAATATAATAAGAATAACTCGGAGATATTTTATATAACAATATTTCGAAAATATCGCCAAGTCAGTGGATTAATTAAGGCTATCAATTGCATGTGCGAGAGCTGCAATTTGTAATTCCGAGTATTAAAACATCAAGATAGGTACGCGGGATTTTCCATACACACTGTAAATTACAAGAATGTAATGAGTAAATATTTGTTGACTTCTGGATTTGCGCTCAGTCGACGCGCAAAGGGTGTACACCCGCAAAAGCTGATTTGAAGCCTGCTGCTGTGTGCGAATCATCGTCATCGTCGCGGACCGGCCGTCTATAATTGATTTGATTGCTACATATGCAACACGGTGCGAGTTCAAAGCGATCGGACACAGGAATGTGCGATTCACACATCAGAGGAGAAGGAAGTCGCCGATTGTCGCCGGAGCGAAGAACGCGACGCGACCGCGTAATAAGCCTCCTCTAATCAGTGTTAAGTAATTGAAGTTAAGCCGAGTCAAATGTTAATTAGTAATTATCCCGACTACCCACGCTGATCTCTCTGTTGTTCCGAATTGTTGTTGTACATTGTATGTATATTTTAATTCTATACGTATATTATGCCTTCCTTATACTAGAAACCATAAGCAAATCTAATAGGATTTGACTAACAAGATTGCTATCGTTCCCAAAGTTTTAAGCATTAGTAAATAGTTATTGGCGCGATAGCGAAATCTTGCCATACAATTATAATCTCTTGTAAATTTATATAAAATTTTGATTTATATAATTGAATATCACAATTCAATTTGAAGCAGAAAAGTTTGACGGAACTTTGGTTTCAGATAACGATTAACGATAACGAGGGAGATTAAAAAACCAACTCGATACCGAGCGATAGTCAGTAACTTAACTGGTTGTAAGTTCCGTTATTATATATCTATTTATTTAAAAATATACACATGTTGTGCACGTCAGTTCCAGATTAAATTTATCGACTCACAAGTGTTTCGAGCACTAAGTAACTCAAAGAAGTTACGACCTGAATAAAAAGATCACGATACGAATAAATAATTCATCACTTTTATCGCATAACCGGGCTTATCAACTCTCTTTGCAATACTGCCTCTTATCACCAACTGGAGAGTGTATGTAATGTAATCGTCTTTATTATCTATATATGTGTGAGAAATGTTTGTATTCCCGGCAAAGCAGTTGTGTTAATTACGTTTTCCGGCTATTCAAATAGTCGCAGACCGCGTAATTACTTGCACGTGTCTAAAGTCGAATCGTAAAGACTTAAAACAACAAACATTAATGAAAATCGAATCACTTTAAACGCGTCGCCAATTGTTTTGCGCCAATTGTTTTGGTACCTTTAAACGATTCCATCGAGCGTAATTAGAGGATGGTCGAGGATTGTGCAATTGTGCAATCGATGACTTGTTCGAGGATTGTGACGCAGCACATTTTCTCTCATTCGTGGCGCATATGTGCAATTCACAATTTCCTCGCACGGTCGTGCGGCGAATCGCAATTTCGCAAGCGCGCGTGACACGTACGATGAGCGATTACGTATCGAGAGGTGTGACTGATGAAGCTAATTGACAACAAACGCGACACGGTTCCATAATTAAGAGTCGCACTTTTAGTGGGACTTTAAGGATTAAGAATCCATAAAATTATCGTCGTGTAACGCAATTTTTATCTTTGTGCCACTCGTATGTGGATTGTGAGCGTGCACAATCTTATCGCATGTAATTATCGCAAGTTCCGTATGCAAATGGTTCGATTTCTAAATAAAAGGATAACGAAGAACGTAATCGTGCTGAAATGATTTGATCTCGATTTAATCTCTGCATACATTATCCATGAAAAATTAATATCATCACTAATTATACTGATATCCAATATAAGTATAATCACAAATAATTTAGTTAATTAATAAATTAATGAACAATTTATTAGACTGTATGTCGATAATAAAGATATTATGCGCATCAACAGTCAGTTATAACTTGTGTCGATAAAGAAAACGCTATCTACTGCAGTTAATTATCAAAGTTACCAAGCGTGGTTAATTGCTTATCATAAAAACGGAGCTATTTGTACAATAAAGAAGATATCTGCAATGAAAGCGTCTTGAAAATATTTATGACCAAATTTATGCAAATTGTGAAATAAATTTTGCATATCTCGTTAAAAAGAAATAAATGTTGTTAAACAACACGTAATTATTATAATACTTGTCTTTACATGTGTTATTCCTTATAATGAAATAATAATTATGACAAGCGTTTTATTTTATTGTTTTATTTCTTTTTTTAGCTTTTCTTTTCCTTTTACGCGAGAATGATATATCGCGACACTTTTAGCTGAATAAACTATACAAAGTGCTCTCTAAAAATAATTCCTAATAAATCTGTTCATAGAATGACGTTTTCTGCATGATGGGCTTCTACACGGCGGAAGACCATGAAAACTAGAAGTAGGATGTCGACGATTTTCTGATTGCTCGCTCTTACACGAATGTGACGCGGCCTTTACATTATTTAATTCCCGGACGACGAGTCTCTCTTACACCACACGCGACCTTAAATGCCTCAAGTTTCAAGCCGTCAACAGGAAACGCAAAAGCCCTCAAACTCATTATCCACTATGGTTAAGTGGAAAATAGCGTCGATCACGCCACGAGAAAATCAACAGCGAAATTGAAATGCAGACAAAATCCCTTCATCTTATTTAAAGTTTTTACTTATAGTTACTCGTTCTTTTCTTTCTTATCTCGACAAATCTTTTAGACGAATTATCTGAATTCACTTGAGAACATTTGAAGATTATTTTATCGAGATTATATAAAAAATCGTAGAGCTTATTCTTAAAAGTAACAATTTTTCAATACGTTTTAATGATTTTGTGGATATTATTTTTCAAATTAATAAAGGTTATTTCTAGAATAAAATATTTTGACTTATTTTAATGATCTCTCGGCTCTTTTGAGATAAAACATGCGGAGCACGCACAGAAAAACGCTTTCTATCAAGAGTGAAAGGTGCCTTTTGTAAGTTACCGTTACAAACTTTACATATTTCATAAACAATAATTAGCGAATCAAAAATCGTTGTTTTTTACACGTTACATCTTACCGTTTAACGTTTCTATTGACTATACAAACGATCCGTGTCAAGGTGCGACGTCAATAATTCGTCACACCGTATCCGCAATCCTTGTGCAAGGCCGTATTCGAGGGCGCAGCTCAAGTTTTCAGAATTCGTCCTCGCGTTATGTGTCTTTAGAATACAAAATAACTTATTTATCGTTAATAAGATATTCAAATAGGTTACGTCCTTCTGCGAAAAACATATGTTTTTTACACGTCCTTTCTCTGTTAATTTATTATTTATTAATTTATTAATAACACGAATTTATTAATTTATTAATAACACGAATGTCTACTTATTACATTTCTTCTATTATTTCGTTCATGTATTTATTAACAAAATAATGAAATCAATCATTAATTTTGGCTTGCACGAGTTTATAATTATCGTAAAAAAGTTTTTATTAACAATTATTTCTTTATTTATCTAGTTTTGCGAAGTTTAAGCGAAACTTGCATTTACAATAAAAATTTCACTCTGTGAAAAGATAACGTAGTTTTTCCTGCGTTAGGACTTAAGAACTTATTCTATAAATTAATTTTAACTTCAAATGACAAACCGCAACTGTTACGGAAGTTAATTAGGTGCACCAGGAAACGCGAATTGGCATAAAGTTTCGATTAGGCGCTTTCTACTTTCGTTTTCTGCGGCTTCGGCAGTATTGAACACAATTTACACGGTTGCAAACAACTGCAGGTATTTTAATCCGTGTCGTTGAAAAAATCTCAATGTATTTTGTGCAATTCACCGATTAATATCAATATTCTTTCTTTCGTATAATATAAGTGCGATTTATCGACGTGGCATCAGTAGATATTAATGTGACAACCGATCGATAGCGATGATTGATCGAGTATTAACTCTCACCAATCAAATTAATAATAACTTGCGAAGCACGTGATTTTAATTCATCGAATTTCAATTATTCATATTACGATCTAAAATAATGCATCGTAATTTATATCTTTTGCATGATAATTTCTTCCTCGAAATATAAAAATATACATCTCTGCAAATAAATTTTTTTTTAGATTGAAGGTTAGAAGATAAATCTAACGCATGAATTAAGGATGCTTATTAACATGCTTATTTTCCTCGTATTGACTTGCTCTTTTCCTTTATTAATGATGTCAAAGTGAAATTCCTCGAGTTTCTGAGACTGTACGGTTAATTACTGCCTGATTTTATCAGTCATAATTTTTAGTTTCACATTTTTAACCGGTATGCTTGCATATGTGTTCAAACAATGACACAATGACACAATGATACGACGTTTATCAAGTTCTTTTGAAATTATCCTAGAAAAGATTCTCAGTTTCGCTCGAAATCGCACAATATTGCTGCTTCATCAGACATGTAACAAATTGTAAATCTGCAATTTTTCGATAAAATATCGCTTTAATATCGCGACGCGATGATTATCGTTGTTCAATAAAGAATAATCACTTCTATCAAAGAGATTAAACCATGATTTTTGCCAGATTATACGATAAAAGTTCAAAAATAAAATATATAATTTCTGAAATATTATCTTTGATAATAATATTTAAATAGATTGATAAAAATAATATTTATTATTATAAATATAAGAGATTTTTTTTATTCAATAGATAGTCACGTTTTTAAAAAATCTAATTAATTTAATTAAAACGACCTTCACGCGTTAAAATGCTAAACTCATCGATTAATTAAAATTTATCTTCTTTTTGTCTGTTTTTTGGTAAACAAAACGGCATCACATTTTTTTTTTTGTTATTAATCATATTAAAACGTTTTTTATTTTTTACATATATTTGTGTCTCGACATTTAGAATAAAGATAGCAAATAAATAATTTATGGTAAAAAATATGAATAAAATATTAACTAAAATTTTAATTAATTTAAATTAAATTTAAATTGATATTTTATTAATTACAAATTAATTTCAATGAAAAATTTACTTGCGAGATATTTACTTCAAGAATATTCTGAAGCGTATAAACTAATATATAAAATTTTAGTTTATTAATCTGTTTTTCTTTTTGTAGACGAAGCAAGTTGCAGAAATGATCTCACATAATCGCTGATTAATATCTAATAGATTGCGGTGTGATAAAATTATGCGATAAAATTTAAAAAAATGCAAAGTAATATATTGCACGCAGATAGACACAATCAATATCACATCAAAATTTGAAGAAAAAAAAGTTTTATGTACATTGCGTCAGCATGTTATTGCGAAAAAAAGTTACGGCTCGTTAATCGCGCTCGTTAATCGCTCGTTAATGATGTTTGATCTTATAATTAAATGTTCAAGATAAATCGTTTTATGGTGCACGTAAAGCACAGTAACGTGATTATGTAATGCTTTGAATCTTTCCATCGTGAGAATCAATTTGTAATAATTGCGTAAAAGAGAAAACAAAGTATCAGTCATTCATCTTAAAAAAATACGCAAGTACTTAAAGGAAATTGCAAATTTTTTTTGGACAAGGCAGATAATATATTGAACATCATTTCTCCAAATAATGTTTCCGTGTCGGAAGGATCTTATCGCGTGAAATATAAATGCAAACTTATAATCATTCGCAAGATATTGCGTTCTGAAATTACGTCATTATAATTCGCGCAGTACATTTCCGTTCACAAATAATTGAATAAAGCGTTCAACATAATTGCTACGCGTTGCACAGATGAAGATCTTCCGAATCGCGTCTCGCCGTTTTGCAACGATTCACGTAAACATCGTGTACAAGTGGTTTTCATTCCCGGGGGCGTTTTGCGGAGAGACTCACCTCCGGTTGTATGTAGCACAACACAATCTTTTGAAAAGCAGTGTCTTAATGACAAAATTCTCTTCTTTGTGTCGCAATGTCAAACTAAATGCGAATCACTGACAGGGCCATGGCGTGACATACATACATTATTCAACGACATATGTATGTAAGGACACATGTATGTAACATGTGGTGTAAACATTGCTTCCAGCAACGCATTCAAGGTCCGAGTTCGCAGATGAAAATTAGAGACGCTCTTCCGTAACCGTCTCATTTCGACCATGTTGCAGTTGTTTTGCAACTAACGCAAACCGCGAAGGAAAAATTTGTAACAGTAATTTTAACCGCGTGTGCGCCCGACAGGCTTTCCA